CTTCTATTTAAGATCCATCCATCAATCCATCTAAACTTTCGCATTTATAATATAAGTAGGTTTAAAAAGCGGCTCAATTCGCTGACATACACACAAACATATATTTCATTCTTGTGTAGACATAGACTAGATTTATATTCAGATCCTTCCATTATGAATGTTAGTTAAAGTAACGTTACTGTAGGGACATGATCGGTTGCATATTTTCCATAAAAAAATATTTTTTTGTTCATTCTCCGAACGCACGAGTATAAGAATTACAATTTAATTGTATGTAAACGAGACATTTGGCAGAGAAAGCTGGAATGTATTGCTTTTACAGAATAAAGATTGTTTCTGTCGGTAATTTATTGAAGTCTGAGAGAATATGGCCATAAGTTACGATTTGCGATTTGGCCATGTTATACTACATAAAATTAAACATAAACTTCAAGTGAAATCAGGCCAGTAGGGTCTAAAATACGTTTAAATCTATATTTGGAGCTTTACCAGAACATTTTATTGTAAAATGTGCATAATATTGTCAGACAAGCTTACAATTTCGATTCTTATCCAACGCAAAGATAATTTTTGTACTTATGTTTGCCACGAGTAAACTAAAAAACTACTTGAATGGGTCAAGTAGTTTTTTAGTTTAAATATTCTTACACCATTAGAGTGCTTTATTATTCTTGGGTAACATAGATTATATAACAGAAAAAAAAATGCCAGCAATACGAAAACGGAGCGAGACACTAATGCGTTTTCGGATCGAATGAAGTTAACTCTATTAAAACCAATTAGTAGAATCTATGATCATCTGTCTTTATCCCACTTTATGTGGATGTGGGAATAAAGAATTCGTACTCCAGATCGATCCGTCTTTAATTTCAGTTGTCACTTTTTTATGTCACCGTTTACATAGCCCAGACCTACCCCTACTAAAGTATTAATGTCCACACTATTGTATTAATAAAATCTGAGCATCTATATACCAAAAGCAACATTGCCTGTACCCAGGGTAACAAAACCGGTCGTGTAATTACAACGATCTTGTCATATAAATGACCAACAGATTACGAACGCCTTTCAAGTCCCAAGTTCGAGGCAAGGTCGGCCACCAGCCGGCATCGGCACTGAGGTACTGATCGCAAAAAACAAACGACAAAAGAAATAAATAGCTTTGGTATGGAAAAACTGAACGCCCTTGTAGTACACAATTGAATGTTATGATTTAAAAAAAAATAACTATACCATAAATGCCTTCTTACGAGCGTCGGTGGCTCAGTGTTCAAGCACTTGACTTGCAATCTACAGGTCCTGGGCTCGAATCCCGCCATGTACCAATGTGTTTTTCGATTTACATATGTACATTTATCTGACGTTCTTACGGTGAAGGAAAACATCGTGATGCAATCTGCACATATGTGAGAAGAAATTCAAAGATATGTGTGAAGTCAACCAAGCCGCACATGGCCAGCGTGGTTGCCTATGGCCTAATCACCCTTAATTAGGGCAGGCTCCGAGCCCCTCGGTGGGGACGTATAGTGAGCAGATGATGATGATAAAAATGCTTTCTTACTATAAACTAAATACGAAATTTTACATAGATGGATAGATGTTTGTTAGAAGGTAACTCCAGAGCGGCTGCGTAGATCTCGCTGAAATTTGGCATAAATGTAAATCATAGTCTGGAAGGGAACATAGGCTAATAATTAAGATTGTTTCTTTAATTCCGCACGGACGTAGTCGCAGGCAACAGCTAGTGAATAAATAAAACATAAAACTTACGATTTTGTATATAACTCAGTAGTCTGCAAGTGAAAACATGATAAAGTTAACGTCCTTATTGAACAAAGAGGGTCAACTCGGGCGCCATCTGTCGTGTTCACCAAACATATCGAAGTGTCATGTTACTAACGAAAGACAGAATCTGTACTAGAGCAACCAAGCGTGAGTTACACCTGGCCTGCTTACACTATTTGTGATACTAAATTTGACTCTACGGTTAATATTCGTTAAAATAGTGAAATCACTGCTGCATATAAACATTTGGAACAACTTAGAAGGTTGCTGAAACGTTGTCGAAACCGACGACGAATTGTTCTCAAACACAACACTAATTATTTTCCGTACGAAGAATAAATCTGAATCGTTATTTATTTTATATGTAAACTAGCGGACCCGACAGACGTTGTCCTGTCTACACGTCTTTAATTTGAATTAATTAATGTGAAGTTAATATTTGATGAAAATTGTGAATCTAAACCATTCCCAGATCCCCTTGAACACACACAAAAAATTTCATCAAAATCGGTCCAGTCGTTTGAGAGAAGTTCAGTGACATACACACTCACAGAAGAATTATATATATAAAGATTTATGATGTAATATATGTTCGAAAGAAGACATTAGAAAATGATACAGCGGACAAAATAAAAAAGGTACTAAGAAAAAATATATATTTATGTATTAGTTACGTGTAGTCATAATCTGATTACATAAAATTATAATGCTGACCATACGCTATGTCCCTTCTATTTACTTAATAGCCTTCAAGTCTGTAACAATTACTTAAGCCACAGCTTAAAACAGTAGTATCATTACGATGAAAATAACTCATAAATATATTTACTTAGAAACTTAACAATTATGTTTAATCTTACTATAATTTTATTGCTTAATAAAATCTAAATTCTAGGCTATATGCCAGTGATCTAGTTTCTAGCCTTATATATTTGTATATATTTATTAGCATAGAAATGTCAAAGATGTGTTATTGTTCTAATTTTTAAAGTAAATGGTTATTGAAAAACTTTAGTGGTACTACTGTGTTTGATTGCTCTGTGGCGTTACCTTAATAGCAAGGTTTGCCCTTGGTTGTTATTTAATAGGCTACCGAACGGCCAAGTGCAATATTTAAATCATGTAACTGTACTAAAATTAATTTAACTAAAAATTATTACAAAAAAAAGGATAAAAAAATTATGTGTAAAAAAAAAGTTAACAGCAAATGGCCAGCTTTTTACAACAGTGTTTTATAACTTTACAAATTTTAATTATACTAGCTGCCGCCCGCGACTCTGTCTACGGGAAATTAAAAAAAAAAATATAGCCTATGTGTTTTTCTATGCTACGTTCTCCATCTATGCCAAATTTCAGCAAGACCCATAAAGCCGGTCTGGAGATAACTTCAAACAAACATCCCTCCAACCAAACATTCGCATTTATAATATAAGATGAAGGTATATTAATTTCATAAATTTTCAATGATTTTTACAACCTTTAAATTAGTGATGTGCATTAACAATGGATATCGACACTAACAATTTTGTTATTCGAAACAAATATGGACGCAAATTAGCAAGGTGATAAAGTTGCAAAACCCGAACTAACGGTATGTCAAGGAGAAGTTAGAATCGATTCGCGAATTTCGTAAAAAAAAATCGATAAAAAATTACGCGACACCATCAGCCGATCTACCATAAAAGAAAATCTTCGCTTTGATAATATTTGACACGCAGACAGCGTGCTAATTGTCGATTTCGAGAGAAAAAAATAATGTTGCCAGTAACAAAAAATGTAATTTTATAATACAACAATGAAAATGTCTATAGGCCGTCTTTTTAAGGATTTAAAACAGATTTTTTGTGTAAAAACAAAAACTTGTGATCGACGTAATATCATAGAAAAATTCTAAACCTAGTAACACACAATAATGATAAAATCTTCACGGGTTTGTGTGCAACAGTTTTAAGTAATAATTAAACAATATCGATGGGAATGAGGACAAAGACATGTTTATCGTCTTACCCAATTCATTGTATCATTAATGATACCGCGATAAAATTCGTAATAATTAATTTTTATCAAATTATTATTAAACAATAGTTTATTATATTTTGAAACAGAATATCGAATCGTCTGTTTTTCGCCTTTGAAAAAAAAATTGTTACAGTAAGGACCTATTAAGATATGACGTAATGTAACCTTGTGTCAAAAACATATCGTTTACTCACTTTTTTCAGAGAGAGTGACAGAGAAAGCGATATTGTGTTGCATGTTTTTGGAGTGTAACCATCACTCCATTAAAATGCCTAAAACCATTGGCGATTGAAAATGCCATATATTTGTACGTCTTATATTTTCAATGTTTTGCTATTATTACAAAAGATGAGCTAATACGAATGTAACTCTTTCGTTTTTATTCAGACGAAGTTGCCGTGATATTTCATTGTTTAATGCATTATCTCCGTGAGAAACTGTAAATGAGTGTAATAACGTTAATTGTCTGTATTTACTTACATTAACGAATTATTACGCTAAGCGACAGTGGAGAGAAACCTTATTATAAAAATTATTTTTTATTCTGTGTTTGTTTACCTACCGTGTATATAACTATTGCTCTCTCGTTAAATACAATCATCCTAAATATTCAAGGTCACAAAATATTAAGAGATATTGTAACTATGTTAGAAATTTCGTTTTTATCCCAACAAGATAAGTCTTTACGTTCCATATTACCGCTTGGGAGAGTCTGGTTGATAAATGTCACTAAAGTATGGAAAGTGGGACTACTAAGGGACTGTTCAAAACATTTAAAGACTGAGTACGGCATACCTATATTGTGTTTGAATGAATTTGGTTGAAAAAAAAACAGCTCGCCACGTCGGCTCATCCCAAACGCAGGTAAACGTTTTGCGCGATCATCTTCCAAATTGCCCCAAAAGAAAACAACTTTCTGCGATGCCGTAATCAATCTTTAACTAAATTCGGGAAAATAAAAGGAGAATAATCATTGAATTATATACAACTTGATAGAATTATGCTTAAATGTGATATAAATCACTTAAGAAATGTTAGAAATACAAATCGAAACAGCCCAGTTTTAGCATTATACAAAACAGTTCGCTGTGTCCAATCAATCGAGACGACAGGTTTTTTTCCGCGAATACGCACATCTTAGAAGAAACGACAAACCATGGATGGAAAGTACAGTTAAATAACTTTAGAATACTCACGCGACGTAGATGTTTAGAAGAGATTACGTTGAGGGATATATTTTTTCTAACACTGTCATTAACGCACGAGTTCTCAGTTCACTTTAATACACAAAACGTTTTTTTTATACGGGCGTGTTTTCACAAGATAGTTCTATGATGCGATGCAATGCCGGGCACAGACAATACGTGCCCTAAGTGTTTACGACGCGGTGGCTCGCGACGGACTGACGCGGGCAGCGGGCGGTGAGGCTCGGCTTCGTTACAACGCTCACATCTCCCACTCACAAAATCTGTTTAATTCAGAGAAAGAAATGTTATTTTTAATGTGTTATTTACTATTTTAACAGTTTTAGATTACAATCCCAACTTATGAATGGAACAAAAAATGCAAATATGAATGAATGATCCAAACACGTATGATAGATGACTAATGACTATTTTCCAATCCCATTTCTATTGATTTTATGTGTTTTTATTTTATTTTTGCAGTAATTTGGATTTATTAAAGAAATGTAAAGAACGTAGAGATACATTCTCGATCTATAGGGCCTGTTTACCATTTTTAAAGCAGAAGAAAAAAGTTTCTTTTACTTTATTTTGTTGATCTTTGAACTTATCTAGGTAAACTAGGTTTATATTAGAACCTATTAGCCAGATAGGTGTTTAAATATTGTTTATTATAATATAGTATAGTAGTTGTGAAACGTTTTGTTTATTGTGCATTATGCTGTTTGCTAGAATTTGCATAGATTTGCGAAATTGTTCGCAAATCTATGCAAATTCGACTGTTCCACTTCTAATAACCATACAAGGTCGATCGCCTTCAATAAAATTAGTAATTTTATCTATAAAAATTTTATATCTGTGAATATAAGTTAAAAGATAGAGAGAGTTAAGGTCAAGACAAATATTTTTACGACCAACTCCTCAAATAAGACTTTTAAATAATATTGTTTTTAACTCCTTGAATTATGACCTTTACGCTGCGGAGAAAATAGGAATCGAAAGCTTGCAATTCAAAATTAGTGAAGCCATTTAGGCTACAAGACATCACACAAAGATATAAACCTTCATACATACATTACCATCTCAAAGTGGGTTTCTGAGTCTCCATTTGAAACATATACTTATCTTTGTTTTGTCAAAGATAATAACAGGGATGATGATATATTTTATATAAAAAAACGGTCTCAGAAACCCACGGTTAATCACAAACCTACTTTTATCATAGTTATTCCGATTATCATGAAAAAAAAGGAAGTATAAACAATCCTTTATTATGGCCAACAACTGTTGCATTTACCCTAATAGCCTGGAGTTCCGATGACGTAATAAAGGCCGCGGTAAGCGATCGTAGTGTCAAATAAGTGCATTAAATAAGCGACATACTGTTGACTATTGGCACCATTCCCGCCCACTGACCGGCAAGGTCATCCAGCTTATGTAACGCCTGCATTAGTACATTAGGTTAATACAGTATTTAGTTGAATATCAAGAATCTAGATCAAACTTGATAAGACCTTATAGCAAGTATTTAGTTATAACAAGTATTTTCGTATATATTTAACTAGATGTCGCCCGTGGCTCCGGCCAGCAGAAGTTAAATAAAAACCTAATAAGTAGCCTGTGTGTTCTTCCAGACTATGTTCTTCATACATGTCAGATTACATCGAGATCTGTTGAGTAATTTTGAAGAGACCTTATAGCATCCATCCATCCATCCAAATTAAAATATTAGTAAGATTTGAAACGACGTTGTGATGATTTGACTAGACTGTAGCGTCTTTTCCTGGGCAACTTTCTCCAAAATAATTTAATTTTACAGTTTACGAATAACTCTGAATTATTTAAACTTAAAAAATTATATTTAATAAATATAATGTTTTTATTACCAAATTAATTAAGATAAGACAATAGCCATTAAGAGAATTTTGTTCCTGTTAACCGTTGCATTATAAATGTCGTGGTCCTGACCAACAGTTATAACTGGGCCACGAACGGTATACGACGGAATGCCACCATTGCTGTGGGAGGACAGTACCTACTGATACAAAGATATTAAACTTACATCTGACAAAACGTGGTAGTCAGAAACTGTCGCACAGTTAAGGCACTGATGAGATTTTTATCTAATTTCCATGATAAAATTATTTAAAATAATATCTGCTAGATGGCGCTTTATTTTATTTTTTCAATTATTCGATTTGTCAGACGTGATTACGAATCGAATGTCGAATGTCAGATTTAAATTGAGTAAACTGTAACCGCTGATCTCTATAAATGGATAGGCGATTGCTTGGAGATGAGAGCTTTTGTTTCGTTCCGATTTACGCGCTGGTTGATGTTAAGTGACAGTACATTATTAGTTCGAATACAGACCACCTCACTTAATCGCTACCATCAGCGCCCAATAGCCGAAAATCAAAGAGGCACAAAATACTTTGTCATATAGCCAGTCCATTTATAGAGGTTAGTGACCATAATGATAATGATTATTCGAATTTAGAATTGCTTTTCTTCTTTTACAACTTTTTAATTTTCGCATGTTAACTTGTGGCATTCCGGCACTCCTTGCATGCCAGCATAGAGGAGCGGTCGCTATAAGTAAAACCTAAACGATTATTTTAATTCAACTATGTTACTTGAAATAACTGAATGCGAACTGCACGCTGACCTTCTTAGCTTTATTAATAAATTTACTTTTAAAATTACTTGATTGTAATTTATTATTAATAGTCTGCAATTAGGTACAAAGAATTTTTTATTATCATAAGCCTATTATATGTTTCATTACATTTATTATTTGTTTCCACTGCAGAAAACATGTTGTCAACCTTCCCATTTTCTTAAAAATATGTTGTGTACAGGTGTTTCTTCAATAGTAACCCAGTTATATTTATTTTCCCTGATTTTCTAATTTAACAAAAATTCTTCATCTCATAAATAAATTTTGTTTTAATAAAATCTACAACTATTATAATTCTTCAGGCGCTACTAGCTTGACATTTAGCGTGTGAACACATAAAGATTCGAGTAATAATGATTTACGATTTGGTCGCTCACCACATTTACCCGCATGCTACCTCTAACTTAAGTAACTTAAGTTGCAACTTTAACTTAGGTATATTAAATTAACAATTACTTTATATTCCTAACATGAGTCTTGTAACATGTACAAAATATTGGTATACTGTTATTTACATTGTATTTTTACAGATATTTATACAGTGGAAACGTACTTTAACTTAAAATATTATATGAGTTATCGGTTTGTTCAATAGCGTCGCTCAGTAACCAGTGAGCCGAATTTGTTATATTCTGAGAAGCGTACTTACTTCACGCTTTTTTATAATTACAAAACATTAATCAAATATTAGCAAACAGTGAAAGCGTATAATTTTGACTTAGTTCTGATACCGGAATATCCTCAACTTGGGTAATTCACTTTAATTTACTTATATAGTTACTAGCTATCGCCCGCAACTCCGTTCACGCGGAATAAAAAAACGTAATTAGTAGCCTATGTGTTCTTCCGGTTTTTTTTTCAGAAACCGGAACCGGAACAAATATCCATACATCTATCTAAACTTTTGTATTTATAATCTTATTCATTTATTAACCTTTTTCTTAATATATTACAAAATATATTATATTAAAAATAGAGCACCACCGGCTGCGGAGTCCCATGACTCAAACAACCAGTGGTCAGGGCTGCAGAGACAGGAACCTTCTCACGATGCGTGCGGTTTCTAGGTTAACTGCCTTTTGTGTCGGGCCCTAAATCCAATTGTTTAGCGAGAGCTTCTTGAGATGTTGGTCGAAGCTCTTCGCTATCAGTATTTATAGTATTAATGAGATAGTGAGATTATGTTATTGTCTTTAAATTATTTAGTATAGTGCGTACAGCGTATAGTGCGTGTCTTAGCTGTTACAATTTATTTAAACTAATAATATTTTGCGGTTGCAATGAAACTACCCCTATACTTTTATTGTGACACATTACTTTTTAAACGGCAAGAACTTAGGTTTTAATTTTTCAACAAACAGTGACGTACACTTTATATAATTTTATAACGCTACACACAAAAATAGAGCGTCGGTGGCTCAGAGGTCAAGTACTTGACTTGCAATCTGCATGTCCTAGGTTCGAATCCCGCTATGTACCAATGTGTTTTTCCATTTCCGATTTACATATGTACACTTATCCGACGTTCTTACGGTGAAGGAAAACATCGTGATGCAACCTGCACATATCTGAGGAGAAATTCAAAGATATGTGTGAAGTCAACCAACCCGCACTTGGCCAGCGTGGTTGACTATGGCCTAATCACCCTTAACTTAGGGTAGGCTCCGAGCGATATCAGGCGGGCCCACGGAAGTAAGCTAAAGCGTTCCCGTGGCGCCCGCCATAATGCGTCAGAGGGCAGTCAGGTTTTAGTGGGTATTTTGGTCACCTTCTGTGGCCGGCGAGTCCCACACTCCCTACGCCATTGCACCGCCCGGCGTAGGCGTGCGTAAATGCATTTCCTGACTATAAAAAAAAAGGCTCCGAGCGATATAGTGAGCTGATGATGATGATGACAGACCAAAATATATCCGAATCAAATGTTGAAAGACTTACTACTAAAATTAACTGAACTAAATCTGCAATAAGGATATATCTGGTATGTTCTATCAGAAAGTATAACTTACTACCTCTTGAAGTTGACTCTTGGGGACGCTACTGACCTGTCATAAATTAGTTTGACTTATGCCCACGCGATTCAGATATCCTTGTCTGTCTATACCCAGACGTCAATAGTACGGAAGCTCATTTGATGGTCTTGTCAGGATGAGCAAACTTATATGCAGCTTCAACCTGGTTCTTTTAATATTACAGTTAAATTAAGCCTAGATAATTTTAATAGGAATCTTTATCTGGTAATAGTTATAAGGAAATAGCTGTCGTATGTTTGTAGCACATACTTTTAATTAAGATTGGAAATTTTCAGGTTAAAATCTTAATTATTACTCGAGCATTTTAATTATCTAATTTCCTTCTTTAACCGTCCTGCTGAGATGGTAATCATCGTAAATGCTATTTTACTATCTTATTACAAGTTTTGCTGAGGTATATAACAACTTACTAATATTATAAATGCTAAAGTTTAGATAGACAGATGAATGGAATTATATTAGAAGGTATCTTCAGAACGGCTCGACAGATCTCGATAAGATTTTGCATGAACACATACGCGA